GTATGCAAGATGAAAGTAGAAATCAAAGTTTCCCAGTGCCTTAACCACTACAACAAACTGACTCCCCTAATTACTCTTAAATTAGATACTTCTCAATGAAACTTTGATGCATGGAACTCAATGAACAGGCAATATTGTTGTTAGTTGCGAAGTCGTGCCTGACCCATCGTGACCCCATGGACAACGTTCCTTCAGGCCTTCCTGTCCTCTACCTTCTTCTGGAGTCCATTTAAGCTCATGCCTACTGCTTTAGTGACTCTGTCCAGCCACCTCATTCTCTGTCGTCCCCTTCTTCTCTTGCCCTCCATCTTTCCCAGCATTAGGCCCTTCTCCAGGGAGTCCTTCCTTCTCATTAGGTGGCCAAAGTACTTGAGTTTCAACTTCAGGATCTGGCCTTCTAAAGAGCAGTCAGGGTTGATCTCCTCTAGGACTGACCGGTTTGATCACCTTGCAGTCCAGGGGACTCGCAGGAGTCTTCTCCAGCACAATAGTTCAAAGGCCTCCATTCTTTGGCGCTCAGCCTTTCTTATGGTTCAGATTTCACAGCCATACATTGCAACTGGGAAAACCATGGCCTTGACCATACGTACTTTTGTTGGCAGGGTGATATCTCTGCTTTTTAGTATGCTGACTAGATTTGCCATAGCTTTCTTCCCCAGGAGCAAACGTCTTTTAATTTCTTGGCTGCAATCCCCATCTGTGGTGATCTTGGAGCCCAGGAAGATAAAATCTGTCACTATCTTCATTTCTTCCCCATCTATTTGCCAGGAATTGAGAGGGCCGGATGCCATGATCTTGGTTTACTTAATAATTTTCTTAATAATCCATCCCACTCATTGCTGATGATATCACTACTGTATCATCCCCTTGTGGTGCTCCGTGGGTTAAAATTATAACAGAAGACAAGAAAAGGACCAAAATTACCCATCACTTTTCTCCTCCATCCTGGTTTGTTTTGGCAGTTGCTTTTGTATTTGATCTTAGCCTGCTATTTCTCAAGGACATGCTATCAGATGAAATTGTAGCACTTGAACAATAAACATACATGTGTAAACTCAGCCTTTATTCACTTTATATAGGCTAACAAAAACAGTATCTGTCAAAGTTGTATATTAGGCACAAACAGAGAATAGGTATAATTTTATGGCAGATCTCTCAGCAGCCTGTGATAGATAGGGAAGAATTTCTGTCTCCTGATTTTTTGTAATGACAGTAGTAACTTCCTAATACCATGAATTATATTGCTAAAATGAAGCAGGCTATGATCTCCATTCATTTAAAGTAGTCCATTAAATGAATGGAGATACCAAGTACTTTCCTGATTTGAGAATTCTCAGCTCTAAATATACATCTTTGGAACAAGGCCCTGATTGATGGATATTGGAATTGTCTTAAAAGGCAATTTCAATCCTACAAGGCTGGTATCTGCCCAGTTTGGTTTACACCCATTAATCTAAATAAAAGCTAATAATATAAGCAAATCTACTGTAGATGCTAGTTCCTTAACTTTAAGCATCTTACCATCTTACCAAATAACAAGTAAAGATTAATGAAGATGCCTAGTAGATATTGGCGTTAATTCTGGTTAACATATAAAGCAACAAGACTCACAAGTTTGACCCATAAAAATTTGGTTTCAGGAAATCTTTGTATGCGCTCATTGGAAAATCAAGTAATCATATGAGCAGATATTTAGACAGAAGATGTGCTTATTTTGATGTTTGTCAGTCCAGCCAATTTTCATATGAAAATGGCTTATGGAAAAAAAAAATCAGGAAGGCAGAAAAAATGATTATGTAGCACACTTCTAAAGCCTAACTTAAGAGTCTGGAAGGAAAATGAAGTGAATTTCTTCTTTGCCTAAATATCTTGTTTATTTGAGTTGCTAAATGATATCACAAATAGAACAAGAGAGACCAAACACGTTGGGAATTTGCAAGAACTATGTAAATTTGTATCCTGTTTTGCTGATATATTTGCTTCTCTCTCTCTCTCTCCATCTCCCTCCCTCCCTCAGTCTCTCTCTCTCTCACTCACACATAAGCACATATACACACAAACATCCCCTACCTGGCCATCTTATCTCAAACAGATCTCTGAAGGATCTACAAAGTGAAATGACCTTTCCCCAACAAGAATTTACTAAATGTTTATGGTCAGGAAACAGGGTGGACTGACTAAATTTGCTTGATTTGTGTCTGTAACTTCCCACTGTAAACCAATTTCAGATAAACTGCAAATGGGCATTGTTTCCCCCCCCCCCACATCTAGTTAGAGTTGCTGGCAATTTGCTTACCTCTGCCTTAACCTTCTAGTGAGTAGAAGAGTCTGTCTTCATGGCTGCCAAATTTCCCAAACTTTCTCTCTGCCAAAATAATTAGATAAAGGAGATTACCCTTGAAAATTCCAAATGCAAGCTATACACCACAAAGAATATCAGAACTTTCCTAAAGTCAGCCAAAAAAGAGACTTAACAAAGGTTTGAACTACTTTCAGTCAAATGTTATCAGATTCATTTCACAGATCGATCTGTCCATCTATCCGTCCGTCCATCCATCCATCCATCCATCTATCCATCCATCCATCCATCCAAGAAAGATTTTGGCAATATTCATTCATTTCTACAAGAAGCAGATGATGTGTGCTCTGCTAGGAGGAAGTAGGAACAATTTAGGATAGGAAGTAGGAACAATTTAAAAACAGGATCTGGGACGATGGAGGGACTCTTGGTGTTTCAGCAGAACAGGAGAGATACTGGTTTGGGACAGTCTTTCCCCATTATGGGAAGATGTTGCTGAGTACACACATCATCCTAAACCATCCTGTGATTTGTTATGCTGTGTGAATCTACTCATTGTGGTTTCTAATCCATATTTTATGGCTCAGCACAGTGGGCTACTGTAACTGTATAAACTCATTCATGTTCGGACTTCATTTTAAATCGAAGTAATCATTTATAGACTTGTACCTGCACAAATACCTGCAAATTTAAGGAAATATTATAGGATGACTTGTTTCCTTATTTCTGATGACTACTGATTGTCATGAAACAAAAGTTTTTGTAGCTGCCTGTGTGAGCCTGCTCATTTTTGGGGGTAGGAAAGATTTAAGTTTAAAAAAAATATTAATTGTTTACCTGTATCTGTTTTTTTTTTAAATGTTTACCATAAAAAAAATCAGGGTGGTTTTTTTTTTTTATGGCAAATAAACCTGGATTGAAAATGTTCTTTCTTTGTTGACTCTAGCAGTACAGCAAGTTCTCCAGGCGTGATGGCTGAGATGCATTGCTTAGCACCTTGGTGAGAATTAGGCTCACCTCAGTGGTAATGTTGACAAGGACTTCTCAGATTTATGAGAAGCACATAACACTTTTTGACAATGTGATCAAAGAGACATTTTCTAGCAAGGAGAACTAAGCTTAAAAGGTTATAGAAGGCATTGTTCCAAATCGACAACTCTGTTGGGAAGTAACAGGCATGCCGGTCAAGAATTGCATTTCAGACAAACTGGATCTGTGGTTCACGGGTGAATGCAAAGATGCCCACAGGGTAAAGCTAATTTGTACCTCCACTTCTTTGTGTGAGCATCACTCCATTTAGAAGCCTGCACGTTTTCTTTTTATTCTTTGAACAAGCACAGCACTATACGAAATTCAGCAGAGATACAAACTAGTGGGAAAGGACAGGGGACTGTTTGCATGGGGTGGGGGCGGATAAAATAATTGGAGAATATGCTTGGTTCACCTATGATTAAACCAGGAATTTTTTTTGAAGAATCATGACTTGTTAAAGAAGGACTGGTCTAGCTTCTACACCATACAAAATCCAGGGTGGTTAATGATTTTGTCTTAGATTTACAATTTTGGGTCTTCTGTGACCCCATCCATTGTGTTTTTACAATAAACCAATGACAGATTATGATTTACCCAAGAGGGACTTTTCTAATGCACAGAAAGATTGTAATCTGGGGATTCCAGCCATAAGTGTGAAAAAACAGTCCTTAAGTGGCTTTTTTTCAGTGCCATCTTAACTTCCATCAGTCACTGAAAGAATTGAGGATTACCTGGATCATTCTGCATTTCGTTTTAGTCTACAAAAATCTATCACCTGTCCGCCTCTCCATCTATTTTACATATAAGCCCAATGTGTAAGCAGGCTGTACAATTAGCGCTTGGATTTCTCACTGGTTTTTAGCAGCGGCCCCACCATCCTTCCAGTTACATGAAACGATAGAATAGAATAGAATAGAATAGAATAGAAAGGGACCTTGGAGGTCATCTAGTCCCACCCCCTGCTCAGGCAGGAAACCCTACACCATTTCAGACAAACGGTTGTCCAGTCTCTTCTTACAAACCTCCACACTGTTGGAGCATTCACAACTTCTGGAGGCAAGTGGATTAATTTTTTTAACTTTCTCTGCTGGTTATCACTTTATTCTCGGCCTGCCTTGAACGAACCTCGGGGGGGGGGAAACGGCGGGGAGGGGGCTCTCGGCGTTTCTGACCTCGCCTCCTTCCTGGAGACCCCCCACTTGGGAGCTGGCGCTCCTTTCCAGCCGCCACCTCCCGGTAGCCTCGCACCTGCCGCCCCCGTGATTGGCGGGCGGGGGGGGGCTTAATCTCGGCTTGCTGAGGGAGAACCAAGGAAAGGAGCTCCGCCGCCAGCCCCAGACGGGCTAGAGCGGGACAAAGCGGGCGGCTTCGCTGCCCGGCGAGGCTGGCCGAGCGGAAGCGCTCGAATTGCGCCTTCTCGCCCGACCTGAGGGGAAGGCGCCCTTCTCGTCCGCGCGCGGGCGCGCGCGCGCTTCCTAATTGGCGGCTCCCCCTCCCCTCTTCTCTCCGCCCTCCCCCACCCGTGTCGCCCCCCGTGTGTGCGTGTGTGTTTGTGTGTGTGTGTGCGGGGGGGGGGGGCGCGAAGGCTCGGCGCGCCTCATCGCCAGCCAGTCAGCCGGGCAGCCGCGCCGCGCGCCTCGCCTCGCCTGTTCCCCGCGCCTTTCCGCGGGAGGCGCGCGCTGGCCAGGGCGGAGGCGGGGAAGGGGGCTGCCCCGCGCCGCGTCTCTCTCTCTCCCTCTCTCTGTCGGGATGGGCTGCCCCGCGCCGGTGCCCGCCGCTGGGGGCGGTGCAGCGGGGGGATGCCAAGGCGGGCTGCCCCCGGCGCTGTAAGCATGTGGTGGGGAGTGGAGCTCCCGCCGCACGGCTCGGCTGCTCCTGCTGCTCCTGCTGCTGCCGGTGGTGGTGGCGGCGGCGGTGACGGAGGCGGCGGCGGCGGCGGCGGCGGCAGGTAGAGCCGTCCTCCCCCGCCCTCCGCACCCCACCCCGATGTCCCGCGGAGACCGCCAGGCGTTGCTTCCAGCTCTCCCCGTCGGCTTTGCCCGTGGCGGTTGGCAAGAGCCCCTCCATGCACGCGCTCACCCTCCTCTGGCTGGGCAGCGTTGCGAAGGTAAGCCGGGCATCTCCGCTGCCGGGGTGGAGGGTGGGGGGACCCGGCCGGATCTCCCCGTTGTCCCTGGGCCAGCAGAGCAAAGCCCTTCTCAAGAGTTTTCTCTCTCTCTCTTTTCTCTTTTGCCTGGACTCTCTCTCTCTCTCTCTCTGTGTGTGTTTTCCTCCTTCCTTTCTTTTTTCCCCTTTCTCTCTCCCTCTCTCTTTCTCTCTGTGTTTTCCTCCTTCCTTTCTTTTTCCCCTTTCTCTCTCCCTCTCTCTCTTTCTCTCTCTGTGTTTTCCTCCTTCCTTTCTTTTTCCCCCTTTCTCTCTCTCCCCCTCTCTCTTTCTCTCTGCAGATTCTCCCGTTGTGCTGCCTCTCTTGCAGCGTTGTGGTGGAGGCAGCGTTGCCCGGTGACAGCGGTGGTGGCCCCGGCGCCTTCAACCAGGGTTGGTATATTTTCCTTGAACTCCCCAATTTCAAAAACCAGGGCATCCCGAGGCATCTTCCCCTCTGACCTTGCTGGGGGTGGCAGAGGCGGAGGCAAATTCGGCTTGGAAGTTTTCCGTTTTTAGATGCCAGGTTAATTTGTGGGAATTCGATATGTAGGGGGCAGAATGCAGAATGGTAAGAGTTGGAAGGGAGCTGGGGGATCTCCTGGTCTGACAGGTGTGCCCTGGCCAGGTTTTCCCATTTCAACCTGGCACGATTGAGCCAGGTGGGTCCTGGACAGATGAGACCCTCAGTTATAGCTCATCTAAAAACATTTACCAAAATAAATAAATAAATAAAAAAAAATGGGGCTTTTCCAGTGAAGCTTTGTCTTGAAGTGCTGAAATGGAGAAGACCCACTTCTAAAAGTGCAGACCAGGCTAAACTTGGCAGACCAGGTGTGTTGCAAGTGTTGCAGTCCTGGGTAGATCTTTGGGGTCTTATTGGATTATGGACTGTTCCTATCTCAGGTTATCAGATGCAGAGATTTAGCCAGGGATGGGCGGCTGCTCTGGTTTGCGGGCACAACCCCTTAATCCCCCTATCTGTCCTTCCTGAAATAAAATCTAAAGACGTGTAAATGAAAGGAGGATATATTCAGGTCTTTACCCTTGCTTGTATTTCCTTTCTCTCCCTCTGTTGTAATCTCCCTGGGATGTAAACTCTCCTCTTTACTTTGTCAATGGGAAGAGCATTGATGCTGCACTTTGAGTAATGCCCCAGAGGTGCTTTTTGCTTTGGAAAATCCAGTTGCCTTTTGGGAAAAAAAAAAAAATAGCACCTGGATGACTGAGAATCTTCTTAGACGTTTTGAGTAATGAGCATTATTCTACTTGTGTGCTTCCTGGGAACAAGTGTCCTTAATTCTTGATTAAACTTTCTTCCTGGAGCTTAAGGGGATGTACATAACACTCCCCTTTCCGGTGTTTCCAACAAATCTGCACGGTGGATTGGCTACTTCTCTAAGACCAGATTTGAACCCATTTGAATCCAGGATTGCAACTGCTCTCATTACAAGGGTTATTCAGAAAAAAAAAAATACTTTCATAGGAACAAGAGGCAGGGGGAAATAATTATAGATCAATACGAAGACGAGATCTGTCTCAGTCCCGCCTCCTAATACGAACATGAAGAAAGGAAGACAGAGGAAGACCTTAAAAAAAAATGGGGGGAGAAAGGAAAAAAAAAGTTCATCTCACTTATAAAAAAACAAAGTTAAAGCATAGCACCAGAAAGAATGACTTGAAAATCCAGCATTTCTAACCCTTCGCGCAGGTCGAGAATGAGAACTGGGCGGGGGAGGGGAAGCCAGTAAGAAGTCGCACTCTAGGAAAAACGTGTGTGAACAGGCAAAGAAGGATTCCTAGATTTCAAAGAGAGCTGGAGACGGATTTGAAAGTTCATCTCCCTTTAAAAATAAATAAATAAAAATAGGAAAAAAACAGGCAGAGGCTTCCAAGCGCTTCCACAGAGCGCTTGCTGCATTCCAATGCGGGCTGCAACGAAGACTTTTTAAACCGGCAGCATTATGTGTTGCTTAAAGATATCCGTGCAGGGCTGCCGATACCCCAGTCAGCTCGGGAAGAAGTATTATCCTTTTCGCTAGGCATGCTAATGAGCCCCTTTTCGTGGAGAAAAGGCATGCTGGTGTGCTGAGTGTTTGCTCTGGAGCGTTGGAGCCTTTGCTCACCGGGGGGAATTCCCTTCTCATGCAGCTGCTTGTGTTTTTGGCTACCGGCCTTGCTTAGCATCCTGAAAATTTCTGATTAGCGCTGCTGGTGAAAAGTGAGATGCTCTCAGCAGAACATTTCCCCTCTCTCCGCGGGGAAAAACAAGCAACGATGCCTCCCTTTGCAAGCTTGTGGAGATGAGGAGATAATAAAAACTCCATTCAAAAATATCTTTGTTTCTCCATGCCGGGGGTGGGGGGGGGAGGGGAGGTGGAAGGAAAGCGTAGTTTTTCTTCCCAGGCTTATGAAATGAAGAAAAAGCAACACAACTTTCTTGGTTGCGTTGGTTTCTTGGATTTCTTTTCCAGAGTTCGCAAAAAAAAAAAAAAAAAAAAGTCCCACGCGAGGAGGAATTTAAAATCCATTATTAATAAATGCAAACGAAGGATGGATGAATAGTTTATTAGTCTTGTAACCCAATGAAAACTCAAAAGAATCTGATAAGGGCCCTCTAAAAATAGCTGACTTAAACCGGTAAGAAGCTTACAAACTTAAAATACAAGCTGTTATCAGAGATCAGAAAACTAGGAGTTCAGCTGAGTGCTTCCTAGAGGTGCTGTACCTTGAAGCTGGGATCTGGAATTTAAAAGATGTGATGCCATGCCGATCTCCTGCATGAGCAGGGGGCTAGACTAGAAGATTTTCAAGGTCCCTTCCAACTCTATTATTTTTTTTTTGCTTCGGATACTGCTTCTCAAATGCTAACTTGTTGATAACACACAACCAGTGTATCTATGGCACTATGAACAAACCAGAATGATGGGACTTTCTAAGTCTTCATGGCCAGAGTTTTATGAAATAGCAGAGGGATGTAGAAATGGAAGCGGGTGCAGTCAGAATAGAATAGAGCTGGAAGGGACCTTGGAGGTCTTCTAGTCCAGCCCCCCCCCCACTTAAGCAAGAGAACCTATACCATCTCAGACAAGTGACTGTTTAGCCTCTTCTTAAAACTCTCCAGCTATGGAATGCCCATGATTTCTGGAGGCAAGTTGGTCCACTGGTTAATTGTCCTCACTGTCAGGAATTTTCTCCTTAATTCTAGGTTGCTTCTCTCTTTGTTCAGTTTCCAACCATTGTTTTTTTGTCCTGCCCTCTGACGCTTTGGAGAATAACATGACCCCCTTATCTTTGTGGCAGCCCTTCAAATACTGGAATACTGCTATCATGTTGCTCCTGTTTTTTCTTTTCTTTAGACTAGCGAAACCCAAGTCCTGCAGCCTTTCTTCATATATTTTAGTCTCCAGGCCTTTGATCATCTTAGTTGCTCTTCTCTGAATTTTTCCCAAACTCTCAACATCATTTTTGTGATATGGTGACCAAAATTGGTTGTAGTATTCCAGGTGTGGTCTTACTAGGGTTTTATAAAGTGGTACTAATACTTTGCATGATCTTGATTCAATGCCTCTGTTTATACAACCCAGGATTGTATTAACTTTTTTGGTTGCTGCTGCACACTGCTGGCTCATGGTCAAGTGATCGTCCACTAGGATGGATGAAGTTTTATAGCTTGATGGCAGAATAGTAGAGTCAGTAAAAGACTCTGCAGCCAGAAATCTTGAAGCCCAAAGTGAGAGCGGTAATCTTATTATGACTTTCATTATTTATTATATTTCCTGCAGGAGCTCAACAGGGCATATAAAGTACTCAAGCATTTCCCACTAGAACCCATGGGGAGGGGGGGAACGAAGCTAAGAAGACCGTCTAGCAGAGTTATATAGTTGGTTTCCAATAAGGGTGATTCTTTGTCATCAAGTAAATGACAAATGGATGAGTTAAGAATGACCAGGAAAGTTTGCAGCTGCAGTATTCTGTCTTTCCTGGAAGGACTGTTCCAAGAGTAGGAAAGGAATAAACCAGATTTTATAATTTTTGCAATTGCCCTGGGAAGGGGTGGGGAAGGGGAGCTTGGACCCAAACTGTTTATTTTACTGGCTTTAATTTATAAGCTGCTCTAATTCAAACATGAACGTAAGTGACTTATAAGGTAATACACATGTAATACCACATTAAAACCAATAGCAACCTGCTCCTAGGAGCAGCCAGCAGCCCCCAAGCCTGTATTTTAAAAGAATCTGTGCATTTGTGGCTGAATTGATAAGTGAAAGACTCCCAACAACAGCCCAATGAATGGTAGCGACAGCCTTGTCCCTCTAAAAGTTTGCTTCCATCGATGTATCTCATTGGAAGTTAATTTTCAAAGGACGCAGGCTAAACCCACAGACCAAGAAAGACCCCCAAATGCCGGTGGGGAGATGAAGCCTTGTGGCTAACCCCCATTCTCAACCTTCTTCCAGATTACACCTTTGTTATCCCCGTTGAGGTGGACTCCAGCGGATCCTATCTCTCGCATGACATTTTGCACAGCGCGAGGAAGAAGCGGTCCGCCCTAAATGCGAAGGCTTCCTTGCACTATAGGTTCGCAGCATTTGGACAGGAACTGCACCTTGAGCTGAAGCCCTCAAACTTCTTGAGCCAGGATGTGACTGTCCAGGTGCTCGGGAAAGATGGCATTGAAGATTCTCAGGTTGGCGGTGTTGAACAGTGTTTCTATCAGGGATTTATAAGGAACCACAGTTCTTCCTCCATTGCCATATCCACGTGCGCAGGTTTGGTAAGTGTTATGCCTCGTTGCTTGGTTTTCAGACTCTTCTCCTTCTACTATATTTGTTCTCATCTGTTGGCTTAAGGCTGATTTAAAGCTGCCCCTTGGCCATTGCTACATACCTACTCTGCTAAATCCCAAAGGTGTTTTTCCAAAAGGCAACTGGGCTTTCTTGATTTTTTTTCCCTCTGAAAATGTTTCACTTCTCATCCAAGAAGCTTCTTCAGTTCTAATGCAAAGGAAAAAAAAAACCAAGAAAGTCCAATTGCCTTTTGGGAAAGCACCTTTGGGACAAACGTGATCTGGATAATTGAGATTCTCCAATAGGCTGCTAAGAGGTTGATGGATAAGTGGAGGTTGCAGATGGCTGAAGATGGGCCGAGGAAAATGCCTCCCAAATCCCAACTCTGCATTGTGTGGAGCGTGCCTCCTGCCTGCTGACTTCCTATTCTGTGCTTTGTGTTTAAGTGCCTCCTAGCCAGAACTTTAAAACGCAGAAAAGGAATTCTATGCAACTGTCCATGAATGACAGATGCATGTTGGAAGGGCCTTGTTTCAAAACATGACAAAAAATCAACAAAGGTTGACCAAATTAAATCTAAACACAATTCAATCTGATGAAGGCCTGTGTATTCAATACTTTGGGTTTTTTTTTTCTGTGCAATTAAATCTTGCAACTCCGTGGCATGTTTTGGAGAGTTTCTGTAACTGCTTTCAAAGCTTTGGGTTGGCATATGATGCACCAATCCACAATCCAGTCCATCTTAGCTGATCTCTAAAATTGGAATGGATTAGTTCTTAGATAGGGATGAACAGGCAATCTCAGGACTACAGGTTAGACTGGAAAATTGGGGGGAGGGGGAGGGAAATCAGTATAAGGCAGTGTTTCCCAAACTTGACAATTTTAAGGCATGTGGACTTCAACTCCCAGAATTCCACAGCCAGCATTGCTGGCTGTGGAATTCTGAGAGTTGAAGTCCACATGCCTTAAAATTGTCAAGTTTGGGAAACACTGGTATAAGGTAATGGAATAATACTGTGGTGAAATGTGGTCTGGAGTCACAGGAACGAGGGGCTCCTTCCCAGACAGCAAAGAGACAAGTGAATCTTGGAATATCAGGTGAGCAGGAAGAGGGCGAAGATGGACCCTCCCTAGCAATTCACAGAGTTTATCTATAATTATGCAGATCACTGTTTTAATCTGGCAAGATTCTGTATGTAGGTAAACAACAATAAAGAGACTACTCAGAAGTAACCCCACATGCCATTCTTGGTTCTTTGGGCCTGACATACTTTTGTATTGTTGCCAAGAAAATGGCACTATTTGTATTCATGAAATCATCAGCAACCAATCTTGGTTTAAGGGAGAATTTACCTTTCTCTAGCCTTCAGAGATCTCCTCTTTAAAGAAAAATCTACAGTTGATTGGGTTAAACAGTAAGTTCACCTTGAACTACTTGCAATGGAATAAGGGTATCTCCTCTGCTAGATGGAGATCCCTTTGAACTCCACCACCATCAGGCTGTAAAAAGCTCTTTGGGTAGAGAATCACTAGTTGTTCCAATACAATTCAATGGGGTGAAGACAGCAGAAAATATAAGTGGCAAGGTAAAGCAATGTAATAAAGTGTGAATGTTCTAAGGAGGCTTTCAATATGGGAGAAAAAATTCAGATGACCACTAGATGGCAGCAAAGGATTTCAATCCCACTTTGCTGCCCTCTATTGGTACTGGAAAGCAGATTGGTAGTGCAGTGGTTAAGGCACCAGGCTGGAAGCCAAAAATCTGTGAGTTCTAGTCCTTCTTTAGGTACGAAGGCAGCTGTGTGACTTTGAACCAGTCACTTTCTCTCAACCTGCCAAGAAAACCTCAGGGTCTTGTTGAGGCAGCCTCTGAGAATTTGACATGATTGAATGGAAAGAGAAAAAATGGTGGTTTAGGGTTTTTTTCGGTGCAGATCTGGTGATCATTGTTGCAAGACATTGTCAATGATTCTTGGACGAGGCCTGAATTTTGTGGTAGGTAACCTCTTTGCATTTAGGTCTTAGGTTCCATTCTTGAACATCTGTATGCTCAAGGCTTTTGACTTGTAGGTATCCAGACAATCATTGCTCAGTAACCAAATGAACTATATCTTGATGTGATGTGTGAAGCCAAGCTCTCATATCAATGTGGTCCTTGTAACTACCACCATCCATACCCCCTCCCTTTTCCACAATTAGGTTGCCCTTCTTTCCTATTCATTTTAGTCCTGGCAATTAAACGGACAGTTGCATTGCTCTACATGGATGGCAGCGCTAATCATTCCATTGTTCCTTTCATTAGCAGTAGCTTCCCCACAATGCAAGTGCAGTGGCCTATTCTTTCAAACCCAAAACATCACGTTGGGGTTTGGAAGCAATGGCGTTTTAATGGACTACAGGGATTCTTTGATCTTGCTCACTTTGGAGTGTATGTGTGAGCAATTCAGAAAACCCAGTCCCTCGGCTGCTGCTTTGCTATTCTTGCCTGTGTAGAAAATTTATCTGGAGAGACCAAAGATAGAACACAACTATGAAAAATCACTAGAAATGAAGGATTAGGGAACAGCAGCTTTCTTGAAATCCTACCTATGAGGTCAGTACTGAGACTAAGGATAGAACATCTGTTTAGGACGGAGTTGTATTTGACCAACAGACAAAAGTCTGGAGGTCAGCTCAAAAAGCCTTTAAGGGAACAGCTAGGCAATGAGCTTATATGCTTCTTAAGTCGACAATCTTTTATCTGAACTCAGCATCGGAGGAGGCTCTGCATCCTGTCACTAGTCTGTTGTGGGCCATAAATTGCCAAAATGTGGTTCTGTAGCTCCCCAGCGAGTGAAAGAATAATTCTTGTTAGAGAATTGTTTGTTTTCAAGGGCATTGGAAATGTATGACTTATGCCTACTTTTACTAGAGGCATTGCTTGACTGGTTACTAATCTCTGGAGCAAAATTAGTCATATTTGATCTTGAGTCTTTCCAGTGGCCAATCATGATGGTACAACATGGAGGCTAAAACATATAAGGAACGGTTGCTGGAATTGGGTATGTCTAGTTTAACGAAGAGAAGGATGAGGGGGGACATGATAGCAGTGTTCCAATATCTCAGGGGCTACCACAAAGAAGAGGGAGTCAAGTTATTCTCCAAGGCGCCTGAAGGCAGGACAAGAAGCAACAGATGGAAACTGATCAAGGAGAAAAGCAACTTAGAACTAAGGAGAAACTTCCTGACAGTTAGAACAATTAACCAATGGAACAACCTGCCTCCAAAAGCGGTGAATGCTCCAACACTGGAAGTTTTTAAGAAGAGACTGGACAGCCATTTGTCTGAAATGGTGTAGGGTTCCTGCCTGAGCAGGGGGTTGGACTCAATGACCTCCAAGGTCCCTTCCAACTTTACTATTATTATTATTATTATTATTATTATTATTATTATTATTATTATTATTATTATTATTATTATTATTGGCTGTGACTGATCTTTTTAACCTAAATCTTGGGGGTTGGGAGTATCTTAAGGAAAAACCAACCCCAGTTTTAAATTCTTCAAATATTTCCAAGGTTTATGATACCTATTTTACTCCTTAACCACTACCCCCAATTCTCCAAAATAATCATTAATCCCTCCCCTAATACTCCATTTAAGAGTTTTGATCCCACACATGAGATGAGTCTGGTAATGAGGAGTTTAGACTGAGAACCTGCATTTATTTAATTGGTCAGAAATATCTTAGCCTCCATTTTTGCAGACTCTTATTGCCTCATTAGTCCCCTACTACAGATCTAGTCAGTGCTGCTGTGTCAACATAATGAAAGTCCTTGGCTAACTAGCAGCCTGGTGTACGTGCAAATGAAGTAACAATTGTATAGATATGACCTAGTTAGAGAATCCTTGGATAAGAAATTTGCTGATTATATTACTGTCCGCGTTTCAGTGTGGAAAAGGGGTCTTGCTTCTTCCTTGCCAAATTCTTTTTTGGCAGGCCTACTGTAGGTTTGAAGTGCACAGCTGACGAACTGTGCAGATTATCCTGACCTTGGTTTGACTAGCTGTGCTCAGAACTGCTGGAAGCAAAATTAGTTTGGTTTTAAACAGTAGGGTATGTGTTTTAAGTCATATATATGCTGCATGTATATGGATGTATATGGAAGTCATGTGGATGTAAGAACAAGTCAAATGGGAATTGCCTTTGAGGTTTCAGCTAATAACAACAGATCTCAGACTTTCATTGATGACGTGGTAGAGATATATTTTCTGTCCTTATGTGATTTGTCTAGGTGATATCAAGTGCTAAATATCACTACCATTTGACAGTATTGACCTGCCTTATCTTTATAAGTGGTGCAGTGATTAGAATGAAGTTCTGCAGGCAACTTCTGTTGATTCCCAGCTGCCAGCAGTTTGGCAGTTCAAGTCTCATCTGCTCAAGGTTGTCTCAGCCTTCCATCCTTCTGAGGTCCATAAAATGAGGACCCAGATTGTTGGGAACAATATACTGACTCTGGTAAACTGCTTAGAGAGGGCTATAAAGCACTGTGAAGCTGTATATAAGTCTAAGTGCTATTACTATTGTCTTGAAAAGGATTTTGACAAGTGCAAGTTCCTTGAAATCCACCTGCATTCTTGTCCCAAAGGTGCTTTTCTAAAAGGCAACTGTATTTTCTCCTTCTTCTTTTCCTTGAAAACGTTTTGCTTCTCATCCAAGTAGCTTCTTCACAGTCACTGCACAATGCATGCACTGTTATGGTGCGAGATGTGTAATTTATTATATAATGGTGTATGGAATGGTGAAAAGTTTGTTGTGCATCTTTGAACACATGTTTAGAACCGTGGAGCTTTCCTCCTTAATCCCCCAAATAATAATTTGCAAGTGATAGATTTCAACCTCACCAGAGGATTTGCCAACTGGTAAAGAAAACATATTTAATCTTTTGGGCTTTGGAGGAGTGAGAAAATAATTTATGATTATCTATCTATCTATCTATCTATC